TGATTCCTACAATCAGCATCAAAGACCCCGAGCTGCATGGGCAGGTGGCACATGCCATGGCGACGAGCGGCGTCTGCGTCATTTCAGGGTTGTACACGCCCGAGCAGTGCCAAGCCATGCACGGTCAATTTCGTGATCTGGTGCAGCAAATTCATCCAGAATGGACCGATTGGGAGCGCGACTTTGACCACAATCAACTCTTTCTCTCGCGCAAGGGCATGTACCGCGCAGGGGGACTCTGTCATCAGCAATACGTGTGGGACATTCGGCAAGACCCTCGCATCGTAGACATTTTCGCCCACCTCTACGGTGTCGAGCGCACCGAGCTCTTCGTTTCGATGGACTCGGTGTGCGTGCGTGGCCCCTGTGTGCCGACCGAGCAGGAATGCCGAGAGTGGTACCACTTGGACCAAACACGAACACCCGACCCTGTCTGTTTCCAGGGCTTCTTGTCGCTCTTGGACATGCCGGAGACAGAGTCGCCACTGCGCGTGTGGCCCGGCTGGCACCGTGTCCCCATCCTCAAGGACTTTCCACCCCCTTCCCACCTAGTCAACTACTACCCGCTTCCCTCTTCCCTCGAAGCGAAGCTCAGAGCCTACTACCCAAATGAATCCCTCGAGCGAACCCTGGTGCCCTGCAAAGCCGGCTCCTTTGTTCTGTGGGACTCACGCCTGCCCCACATGGGTGGCAACTCTCTCCAGGAGACGCTTGGTCGCCACGTTGTTTACGTCTCCATGCAACCCAAGGCCTGGGCAGGGCGCTGGGCTGCCGAAGACGGTGTCCAACCCGAAAAGGCGCACGATGACCTGGTCAAGCAGCGCTGTGAGGCGTTTCGAGCGCTGTGCAACACCACGCACTGGTCTTCAACAACCCTTGTGATCAATCCGCCACCACCGCACCCGGAAAACTGGCCCGGGACCGGTCGTGAGGGTGAATTTCTTCGTGAGCCCACCGCCTTTGTGCCGCGGCCGGCCCTCAGTGCATTGGGTCGCTCTCTAGTCGGCTTGGATGAGCCTATGCACAACGCCAGCCGATGCTCAATCATGTAATGCGCAATCATGTGCCTTGTTGGTTTGCCTCAAAAGCTGTGCCTTCTGACCCTTCCTGTATATACTTTATCTTTATCTACGATTATCATCTGGGATCTCGACCTGCGAGCTGGATAATGTTCGGCGCGTCTGGCGCCCTCGCAGTTGTAGTGCACCAGTGCTCGAGTCAATTCATTTATCACAATAGCACAGGTCATTCAAAGTCTGGCCTCAGGCCGCCATGATTTCTTGCGCACCAGGAATTTGGGATGCCTCAAAGTCGCAGTCCTTTCACAAAGTCGCCGAAACCTGTCCATAGACCAAACACATGCCAAGGCTTGACGGGACAAAATGTAGCCGCCCTGTGTCCGAAATGGCAGGCTGCACGCGATGCACATGCACCGAGTGCCCAAGCTGTTCGAGCAGCGTCCGCAACTCCCCCTCTGCCAGCGTCTCGGCATATACCTAGACAAAGCGGAATATGCCGTGAGCGCTGCCATAACCTTGACTGTGAAAACAATCGGCAATGCAAGCAACGCAGGCGCGCTCGCTTAACCTGAGTAAAGTTGAGCCCTGCTGCTAGCAGGTTGCGCAGCACACTCAACTCGGCCCCTTCAATGTCCAGCTGCGTCGTACAAGGTTCATGCATGGCCTGGTCAAGATGCTCCAGGTAGATACTAGGCTCCGAAATTCAGCGGCGCCACGGGTTCGCACGCGACATTCATCCTACACTCACCTTGAGGAGCGATGTCCAGGTGGTGTCAAGCGCGCTCCAACCTAATGCAGCCATGAGCCGGCTAAGTGGACAGGTGGGGACCTCAACATGCTCTGGTTCTGTCATGGCCGGTGAATCCAAAGCCAGTCCACCCTGCAGGGCTTCAATCAGACTAGCTTTGGCATCGTCCGCAGACACGCCCAGTGCGGTCAGCTGGGAAAGTAACAGGTCGAGGTCGCGCTCAGCAGCCGCCAAGATCTCGGCTTCCACCTGGGCAGCGTACAGGGGGTTGACCGGTGCGTCTTCGAGCAGGGACAGCGTGGCTGCAGCTGCTGCCATGGTTTTGGCCCAGCAATTTTGTGCAGCGGGTGCAAATGAGGCCAGCGCCCCTTCGGCCGGACCGGTCTCGCGATGGCAGGTGAGAGTGGCACGGCCCACTGTGTCAGCTAGCGCCACGGACACAGCCGTCACGCGCAAATTGGGCAGATTCCAGACCAGTGCATCGGCCATGCCCTCTGTACTTGTTGCCTCAGTATCGGCCCCGATGGCACTTTCGCAAAGTCCGTGGCCATTGGGCGTGCCCAGAATGAGGCTGATGTTGAGCTGCACCAAGGCCATCAGGGCCGGGTTGGGCTCCACCACCAGGAGGTCGAGGCGGTCAAACTGATCCCGATGCTTGAGGATATAGCGAGTGAAAAGGCCCACGTGGGCACCGGCATCCACGACACGCACAGCGCCCTTGAGATGGTCAAGGGGGTAAACGCGCAGCGCCACGATTTCATCCAAAATTTGCTCGGCTTCATCCCGCGACGTCGAGGGCAGCAGCACAGGCCCAAGCACATCGTTGACCTCCAGCACCACCAAAGACATGGTGTTCTTGCTGCAGGACCCCGCTCGCCGCCTTTCTTGATGTCACTAGGTGGCTTCCAAAATCTGCTCTCCCCGCTTCCCCTCCGCAACCTGCCACACACTTGCAGACACAGGCGTGCGCGCGCTTCTCGTCTCAACGTTCTTCAACTTGCGTTTAGCTCCAACTCCACAAATGACAACAATAACCTCATCGCACTCACAAGCTTAACTAGGAGTGTTACCTAACATTTTCTGCATTTTCTTCACTTTTATCTGCTTTTACTCCCAATCTGCTCCCCCTCTCTCTTCCCTTCCCTTCCGGTGACTCAGTGGCTTTCCCGGGCGCACGTAGACCTCGACCCCCCGCCGCCCCTGTCGCGATGGCGTGGTGGCGGCGATCCACCAATCTGTTGCTGGTGGTCTGCCTGGCCTTGGGCGCCATTTGCCTGTACCTACTCTCGGCACACGTCGATATGCAGTCCGAGGTGCGGGTTGCGCGCAAGAGCCAAGTGACCGCCTGGCGGGAACACGACAACCTCAAGCGCGAGCTGCAACGGCGCGACAAAGCCGCTCAGGCCCAAGCGGAAAAGCTCAGCCAGGTATGCTTTCTAATTCCATGTGTCTGCTCCAGGAAACACCAGTTCCATAACCCCACCCAATCCACAACACACGCCCAGGGGCCACGCCACGCCGCTCACTTTCAGTCTTGTGGTCCCGCCGGCTTAGGTGGCCGAGCTGGAGAGCAAGTTGGCTTTGCAGACGCAAGAAATTTTGCGCTTGGAGACTGAGCTCAAGCACCAGAGAGGCAGGGCCGAGGAAGCTGCCCGACAGGTGGACGAGGTCAAGGCACACCACGACAAACAGGAGCAACAGCGCTTGGAGGAGCAGTCCGAGATTAGCCCCATCCGCTGCCGTGAGCTCTCCTCTGAAGTAGAGCAGGGCGAGTCACAACGCGTCGCGGCAGAAGAGTCGTTCAACGAAGAAATCAACCTTCGTGGCCAGCGCATCAGCGACCTGGAGCACGAGCTCAGCGTTCTGCAGCACCACGGCGCCGGTGACGAGGACCAAGGGGCCTTGATCGTCGGCCTCGAGGCAGATCTCAGCCGTGTATGTGCTCCTGCTGCATATCGGCATTCCTCGCTGCAGTCTGTCTGTGCTCGGGACTTCTGTCTGGCCCTGATCCATACATATGTTATTGCTTCCCATGAATGGCGAGATAGGCACATGAGGATTCGGATGTCCTTCGCAATTCCCTGAAGGCTGAGCACGACAAGGTCGAGAGCATCGAGGATTATAATGCTGACCTCAAGGGTATGTTTCGAGCGGCAAACATGCTAGTGGCGTTGCCGCAGCCCACGCCAATCGCTGATCATGTCCTGTGTGGTGGCCTCCTTTGCTTGGCTGACAGAACATCTGGCACGGGCTATGGACAAGTTCAATTCCCTCGAGGACAAGTTACTCAAGGGCAACGTGAATGAGGAGCTGATTGTGGGACATCGACTCCGGTGTAGCCTCAAGCCGGAGGACATGGGAGTAGAAGGCACCCGCATCATCAGGCGGCAGCTTGTAGGCCGTGATGAAATGTAATCAACCTTCCCTAGCCAGTCGTTCCATCACACACATTGTGCCACAGCGAATTGCTGCTGCCTCGCGGCCTCGGAACATGATGATATCTGACACTCAATTCACAACACACTCTTGAATCACAGCCTCGTTCTAATGAAGAGCACGCAAACGCAGCTTGTGTCCGTCTCAGGGCATGCGGGACGCTTAGGCCTCACAGGCTTTTCTTTTGTGAGCGGCGCGCGAGCATCAAGCTGCAGTATGCTCTTGGGAAGGGCAGACCTGCAGGTGTCCATTCATCTTCGGCGAGAAGCCCGACCGCGACCCTTGGTCGTCTCGAGCTGGCTGCGGCGACACAGTGGGCAATAGTTTTGGTAGTCTTCAGACGCTTCGCTGCGCGATTGTCGTGAGTTCTGATCTTGCATGCGCTCTGCACCCGCAACAAAAACAAGCGCCAATGAAATGAGATTCATTGTGAGGGACGTGAGATTGCCATAGCAGACTACGCAGGAGCATCACATTGCACTCACGCTCAAGGCAGGGTGAGCAGTACACGTGTTGACAATTGAAAATAAAGACGCGCTCATCAGGACGCCCCGCTATCAGTCAGGCATTGCAAAGATGAAACGGATGAGGTGCAGCAGACTGTGATCCTGAAGCCTCACTTGCACGCCGTCTTGTTGCCCGTGCGTCGGATCAATGCCTCCAGACATCAGCGACGTACCCATGGCCGAAACTTTCTTGGAGCACTGGCTGCACTCCATCTCTTCGGGTCGAATAATTTGAGCGGCCTTTTGAAGTTTGTTCAACTTGAGCAACAGGTTCATGCAATCTATCGCGTAGAAGGGCAAGGGCAACCCAGGTGAGCAGATAAGCTTGCGACTACAGAGTCGGAAAGCAGGATGCGCCGTGCATACCCGTTTGAAAGATATCGCAACATCCTCGAAGCAGCTCGATTTGCAGATTATAGGCTTCCAAAATGCGCACAAGCGAGTTTTTGAGGTCTGGAATCTTCATGTTGCGCAGCTCCGTGCGCTGCGCACAACGGGCGAAATGTACATGAAAGAAAATGGTTGATACACGGAGGGATGAGTGGATGCCGCGCCAAGAGGACGATGGTGCCAAAGACCAACGGATGCACAATCTCACCGTGAGGATTCGTGAGGGGTCAATATGCGCGCCGGCTTCATCAATCAGCTGCTTCACCAGTTTGGGCTTCTTGCTGGCCAGCACCAAATCAATGAGCAGGTCCCATTGCGAATCATCCCGATCTTGCACGACCATCTCAATGGCATCCTGAATGGCGCCCAGCTGACAAGTTGGACAAAGTACAAAAGTCATCCCCGAAGGTGAGCTCGAGGCCAATTGCCGGCAACCAGTCCAAGCTGTGCCGGCCCCATACCTGGGACACCAAAACCTCGATGGCATCCTTGCTCTTGCCACATTTATCTAAGGCCCAGCGCGTTGTGGCAAAACTCGTGAGCACACCAATAGGCCTGCCATCAAAGTTGCTGGAAGGTGACTGCTCACGCACTCAAGCACACGGCGTATTCACGCCAGTGTTGGCCCTGGCGACAAATTTCCGTCGCTTCCTTCCACGGCACGCCGGGGCTTGTCTATTCATGTAGCATATTCCAGTGCAAAAACAACAAAAAAACAAACAAACAACAAAACAAACAAAAATCACGGCATGAGTGGGATTGCAGATGGCACCAGAGCTGCCATCCCAATTTGCTCTTCTTTGCTCCGCACCTGAAGCACGCGCATGAGCTTTTCGGGGGCGTGCATGGCTGTGAGTTCGACATAGCGCTTGCCAAAGCGTCCAGCGGCATCCTTATCCACGGCCATGTAGCGCTCGAGAAAAGTCAGCTGTAGCTTGGGGTATTGCTGCAGCTCACCCACGATGGCCTCAAGCGTAATCTCCTCGCGGTGCTCGATGAGCAGCTCGAGTGTTTGCTTCTCGTCCATTTCCATCAGTGCCACCAGGTTGCCCTAGAAAGTGTGATGGAGCAAAACAAGAGGGTGAGGGAGAATCAAGCCAACCACACCCATTGGGTTATGATTTAGCCAAGAAGATGAGGTGTGAACAAGTACAGAGGGAATGGCTACTGGCGGTACCTTGACGCTGGTATAGAGAGAGAACCGATTGATAATGTCAAAAGCCTCTTTTTGGCGCAGCCGGAAGTAGATGGTGAGAGCGTCCTTGAACCGCTTTGCGGTCACATAGATGGCGGCCAGGGCCTTGGCCAGGGGCACAGATGACTGATCAATGGCGCACTGCCAACCCAAGCGACCCAGAATTCAAAAACCAGTGAGTCGTCATGATGAAGGCTAGCACGTTGTGACGCGAGCTTCTGCAGTGCTTGTAGCCCGAGCTTCGCCCAGCGAGCTCGCACCTGCGCCTCGAGCTTCTGCAGCATCTTCTTGTTGTCATACAGCGCAGCGTCCCAAGTGCCCAGAATCTTGCAAAAGGCTTCGGGATCTTGCTCGAGCAGCTCGGCCAGGGTGCGCTCATAGGCCGTCTGGCTCAGTCGCGGGGCGTCGGTCGGAATCAAGAAGACAAGGTGTGAGAGTGCCTGCTTGCGCAAAAAGGTCTCGATGCCATCCTCCCAGAGCTTCACGTCGTGGCCATACAGCTCGGCCGCAATGCTGACAGGAGGAAAAGTGGAAATGGAAAATGAATGACAATGGCATGATGAGAAGCTGTCAAAGGGAACGTTTGCGCCAATGGCGAGCCTATGTGCGCCCCACCTGGCCGCCTTGGCATAGTCCTTCACGGTATCGAAGAGGTAAGGTAAGAGATGCTTGAGGCCCACGCTCTGCGCATTCGATTGGTGCAATTGGCCGGCAAGGTTCATGAGTTTGCTTGCATGAGTGAATATGACACAGGTAAGGATTTGACGCACCGAAGGGCTGTGCCGACTCAAAAGTCGAGCATGCTCCTTGGCCATGCGGAAGGCCTCGTCAAAGTTGCCCAACCCAATTTGCCAGTCAATGTGATCATCCCAGGTACGTTGCTAATAGAATTCAAGCCCAATGTCCCATGACAGGACACGCGAGACGAAAATTGATGTGAGCTGAATCCAGGATGGACTTGACTTGCTTCAGTGCCTTGCACGTTAGCAGCGCCATCGTCTCTGGCCTTGGTAAGAGCAGTTTGGGCTGACCTTGGCTACGATAATGTCCTTTGGACTGACGATGTAGTACTGTTGCTCTTCAATGATGCCCTCAAGCCAATAGTCCGTTGACTAAAGCAAGGTGTGGGTTTGGCCAAAGGCGCGAGGGCAGATGAGAAGAAGATGAAGCAGAAGCATGGCTTGTAATGGTAGAGGTGAGCGCAGGATGCAAGCATAGCGGAATGAGCCACAAACCCGATACATTTCGTGCCCGTCCATGGGTAGACATTCGTCACTAATCTCCTCGGCACCAACACTCATGATGCGAATTTCGGGCTCGTCTCCCTGCACGACCGTTCGACCGTTCACGTCTTCTTCCTTGTCCAAGTATGCCAGCAAAATCTATGCAGTACAGGCGTAGGTCAGAGGATGAGGTCCGAGCAGCACTAGGATCAATAGGGTGCCGCGTGTGCCCACATGTCAAGAACCATACCAGGTCCTCGCCATATGGGGCAACGCCAGCAATCCAGTAATCGGTCTGGATGCGCGTCAGCAACTGCATGTAGTAGGCTGGCTTGTCCGGCTGGCGCTGTGCAACAGGCAGTACGCTGGCCGCTGTGATGGGTTTGTTGGTCGGCATGATCTTGCCAATCTAGGTCAGGCCGGTGGTCCGATGCGTTTTAGCTCGGCACGCGAATGCTTTCACGGACAAAGCAAGGTTTCAATTGACGGTGGGCCTACCGTGACGTAGTCTGCCCAGCCGATAATGAGGGTGTAATCGTCCTTGAAGCTGAGGTTGCAGCGGTACATGTCTGGGCGAGGACTGTTGGCGGGACGATCCACATAGGAGATGCGACAGTTGTTCTCAGTGTCATAAACCTTGACACCCACGTCATTGCTCCAGGCAATGAAGCGGGAGCGCCACTTGATGGCGCGAATCGGGCCCTCGCCCATGTGTAGCTATAGCATGGCGAAACACTTGGTGTCAAAAAAGAGCCACGCGAGTATGTCGCTGTGGTTGGGGTGGGAGTCGCGCCAATGGGGTGAGCGGAAGAAGGGCCTCGGACGAACCACTTTCTCGGTGGTAGAGCGGCCAAAGAGGCGAAGAGTTTTCTCCTCATGGTAGACGAGTTGACCGGCGAGACCTCCCGTCACAAACACGTTCTTTTTGTGTCGCTTGTATTCGGGGTCAATGGCCACTGATTTGACAGGGCGGTCAAAAGCAAAAGTGGACACTTGATGGTCATCGTAGAGGTTACGAATCACAACCTGAGCAACGCACGGTAGTCAGCACGAGGCTTCAAGGTGAGGCTCCAAGGCGAGGCTGCAACGTGTGGCAACGCGCGCGTGTCCGTTCTCTTTGCCTCTTGCTATTCTTGATCTGAGCACGGGTGGTTGAGCAGGCGCATACACACCTTGCCATCATCTGCAGCCGATGCCACAAACTCGCCCTCAATGTCGATGGAGATGGAGGTGATGCGTTCCGAATGCTGGCAAGAAGCGGGCACCGGTGAGTGAGTTATGCTGCCGCGCTCGTACATGAGATTCGGTGCGAGGAGAGCAAACCTGTTCAAAGCGGTTGATCTCCACGCCGTTGTCCGAGTCGAGGACGTGGAGCGTACCCAGGTCCGTGCCCAGGACCAGAAACTAGGGACCGGGGCCACGTCAAGCGCAAATGAGCAAGCACGGCTTGGCGCTGACCGGCGAGGCATGCAAGGGTAGCTTCTTTGTGCTTCTGCTCAACACACCTTTTCCGTCACAGCCATGCAGGTAGCAACACAGTTTTGAAGGATCTTATGAACGCTGTCCAAGTCGGCGGGGCCCTTTCTGCTTGGAACCAAAGCCGTTGGGTCGTGAGCCCTTGAGTCGACCAAGGGTGAGGCACAACGTAGAGTGAGGCCAGCGCGCATGCTGACCTTGTCAGAGTCACAAACTTGAGCTTGGGCTCCTCATCCTCCTGTGAGCAGGAAATCAGATTTTTAGTGACCAGAGATCCAACAAGCACCTCGATGCCATCATCAGCGCAGTGGCACGGGCAAACGGGGCCACCTACATCTCCCGAAGACGATTCGGCATCCGATCCAGACTCGCTTCCAGACTCGCTAGACTCCTCATCTGATTCAGCTTGGGCCCGTGCCTGCGCTGCCTGTGCCGCGCGTTCGTCTGCTGGAAAATCTCGCCAGGCGCAGAAGCAGGACGAGGGGGCCAAGTGAGGAGCCCGCGCACGCAACGCTTTGCGTTGATTGCAACCATCCAACCCCCTTTGCGCCTTCTCGCCCACAAATTCCAGCCTGCCTTCTCCGAAGCAGAGTCAACGTGTTCAAATACATGTTCAATACTCTACATACCGGAAGCCATGGCGCTGGTGTGCCAATAGAACCGAGCGCGCCCTTGCGCGCTGCCAGATCTGCTCCTGCTCCAGAAAAGCAGACAAACTCAAGCACGTCCGTGTGTGTGTCGGCCTGCACGGCAACGCTTGTTTCACACAGCAGTTGCAACAAATATCTGACATATCTCATCTGACATCTGACAATTACTTGCCGTGCAGCCTTTGATATGGATTCGTGATCTGGGTTTATGTAGAAGACTCTGGGGCTTTTGCGGTTTCAAAGTGATCAACAGAGATAGTAGATGTAGGAAGTAATGAGGAAGATGTTGGAGAGCTATTTTACTGTTTGAAGAGAGAGTGACAGCGCGAATCTCTCTCATCAACGACCAGAGCACGAAACGTACCTGTCAACTTGGACCGACGCTGCTGGGCTGACTTGATGGTGGACGCGGGCCGGTGGTAGCAATAGCTCCTTTGGTGGTGTCGTGTGTGAGCAGAGTGTTGGGTGCAGGGTTGGCTCGAGCGGAACAGGAAAAAGCATGGCGTTTGCTTTGGGTGCAACGGCGGCTGGAGCCCTGGCGGGCGGCGTCGCCATCAAAAAGGCCGAGCATGAGGTCAATTCCCTCTTTGACGACAGCGAAGACCGCCGCGTTCGTGAGAAGGTCGACAAGACCCATGACACCCTGGTAGGTTCTCAAGCGGGCGGACGTGTGCCCTTGCCCCTCCTGGCGTGGGTGGGATAGCTTCCCATCCAAGACTTGCACCCCATTGCGCACCCTTTGCTGGCTTATATCCTTACAGCTTGTACTCATGGGTCAAACGTGTTTTTTTTTTAGCGTGCATCGGACGCGCGTGCCGCCGAGCGAAGCGCGAAACATCGGTGAGATGCTACCAATGCAGTCTGCAGGCTTTGATCGACCTTTCACTGGCGCGGTGCTCAAGTCGGCAGACAAGCTAACACGTTCCACGCGACGATCATGTGCTGTTGCAGGGAGCAGCGCGAAACACAGCGTGACGAGCTGCGACGCAAGTACGGATTGGGCGCCGCAGGGGCCCATGGCAAGACAACAGCGGACAAACTGGAGAAGAAGCATGGCCCCTTAGAAATGGAGGTTGCCGGCTGGTTCTCGACAGGTATGTCCGACGTTCAAAGCTCTGGCCTTGTGATTGGCAGCCCGACCAGACGCCTCACCACCACGCCAACCTCCGCTGGCGCTCCGCTCGTATCACTCCTTCGTAGGTTTTGCGGCACGCATCGTGTCCATCTTGGGAAGCCACCTCACCGTTTACAAACAGGAGACAGACCCAGCGCCGCAGGTGCGCCTTGACTTGCACAACGCCATGATCTCAGTTGACCGCAAGGATCCCGAGCGCCGTGTTCTGCGGCTACGCACAGGGGATGGCAAAGAGCATCGCTTTCGTGCAGCCACGGCCGAGGAGGCCCAGGTCTGGCGCGATGCCATCAGTGCTGCAACCAGCTTGTGAGCACCGTATACACCTTGGAACCACCATCACATTCTCTCCGTGCGGAAGACTTTTCATGTTCATAAACTACATATGCCGGGCTCCGCTTCCCGTTGAAGCGTTTATGAGCCGTCAATTGTCCAACTCCATGCGCCATATTGAGCAATTGAGGACCAGCTGGACGCGATTTGGTCGCGAAAGGTCACGCCATTTGAAGGATGCGCGCGGCGGTGGCTTCTTCTCCACACTGTTGCTTCTTGAAAACGTCTTGGATACAATTAAATGTTTTCGGGGGGTTCAAAACACACACAAAAAACAAAAAAGAAGAAAAACGGCGCGGGACTGGTCTGCATGGAGTCAGATCCGTGCTGCTAATTTGTCGAACCAAGCTGCTGATTTCGAACCGATCCTCGCTCCTTGCCATAAACGGCGTGCCAGAGTCCACGCATGTAGCCCACAGCGTAGATGCGGCCCATCATCGTATAGCCACTGGCTTTGCCTGAAAAGTACCCTCGAGCCTTTTCCCCGACGGCATGGCCCTCTTCAACCGTGGGCAGTAGAGGCACGTGGTCTGGACGAACGATTCCATTGAAACCCACGTCACGCCAGGCCCGCAGGGCCTCCAGCATGTCCGTCTGCCCGTCGTCCTGGAACGTCTCAACAAAGCCATCCTTGGCTGTACCCTGAACGTCGCGAAAGTGAACAAAGTGTGCGCGATGACCCAGGCGACGCACCACCTCGGGCAAATCAATGCCCATTTCCGAGAAGCAGCCCTGGCAAAACGTAATGCCGTTGTGGGGGGAGTCCACCAGATGCAACATGCGCTCAAAGGCCTCGGGGGAAGTGAGGATACGGGCAAGTCCACGAACACGTGGAAACGGCGGGTCATCGGGATGACAGGCCAGATAGACGCCAGCTTCCTCAGCCACAGGTATCACGGCTTTGAGAAAGTACTCTAGGTTCTGCCACATGTCTTCGTGGGAGGTTTCGCCAGCGTCCGTGCGCACAGTGTCGTCAAAGTCTTCCCAGCGCCACTCACTAGAGAGGGCACCGCCTCGGATGGGCACCTCGTAGCTGGTGCGGCCTACGCGAAACTGCCAGGGCATAAAGTTGTAGCAAAGAACGGGAATCTGTGCTTCCCCCATGGCCCGAATGCACTGCTTGTAAAACTCGAGCTGCTCATCCCGTCCGGGCTTGCCCTGCACAATCAGATCCATGGGTGGCCCGCCCTACGCCAAAAAGAGAGGGAATGCATGAAAGACAAGGCGTGAGGGTAGATCAAGGGTGGCATGCCACTCCTGTGCCTTAATCAAACTGTTCGGCAACGCTCAGGATAAATGGCGGGCGCGAATATGTTGGGCTGGCACTGCCAAGAGCAACAACGACAACAACAACATCAACAAAAAACAGAAATACCTCAACAGCCGACAGCCGAAGATTGAAGCGAGCACAGCGCTGCACTAGCTCCTTGAGCTCGGCGGCCGTGCTGGGCATCTTGTCCATGTCATAGTAAATAACATCTGCGCGCGGGCAAGGTGCGATGAGCGAAGGATCGGCCGAGCACCTCGGAACGACGAGTGGGCTGAAGTACGAAACAGCCCCTCCACGACAACCCACTCACCAGTGGCTCCGATCTGTGCCGCAAGCTGGAGATTCTCATCGGAAAAGGGGGTCACGACGAGCGCAATGCGAGGCGTATCCCCTGCATAATTTGCATAGGGCGTTGGGTGCCCTCCGGCAAAGCTCCGCTCACTCCTCGGTATCGCTGCCATGGTCACTTTTTCCACCGCCCCGGCGTTTTGGACGAGGGGCTTCGTCGTTTTCCGTGTTGTTGTTGTTCCTTGTGGAATGTCAGACAACTTTTGCGCTTTGTGACACCGTTGCGCCCTGTTTATACAGTAACACACTTTGTTTCCTTGCGAGACCACTGGACCATGATGCGAGCAAAACCTTTGATCTGTGCGTAGTGTGTGTGGGCTTTGAGGTTTGGAATCCATCCCTCAGGCTATAAGCGCGTCCAATCATGCGATATGGCCAAGGAGCTGGTCGCGCCATCGCTTGTCGGGTAAAAAAGGAACGAATCAAAATGAAGCCACACACACACAAGCCAGCTGAGTCGTGAATCAACAAAACGCTTTTCTTCCGTCGCCTTCAAATTGCCTGAAACAGTCCCCGTGAGGCATTGTCGCCCATGGTGTCCATTGAGCAGCAGTTTGTGGGCAAGACGAATCCTTGGCTTTGTGATTGGCGTTCCTTTCCAATCAATGATAATCGTGGAAAATCAGGGGCAATGGGTAATTTAATTGCCGGAAGCTGAAAGCCATCATATCAATTCTACTGCCGACTATTCAGACGGATTCAGAGTCAAGGGCATCAAGTCAGGGATTGTCTAACGTGTATGAATGCGGCGTCCAAAGCACAAACACAGCAACAAAAGCGCAAGGTTTAGGGCAAATTGAAGCGAGTTTTCCAGTCCCACTGGCCGTTGTTGTGGTACCACGCAATCTTGCCACCGGTCCCGCTGGCGCTGAGGACGTCGAGATGGCCGTCGCCGTCCAGATCTGCTGCATAAACCGAGTAGGCGACGTCAGCAGCGGTGGAGATGATGAGCTGGGTGGAGAAAGTACCGCCGCCGATGTTCCGGTACCACGCAATCTTGTTGTCGCTAGAACTGGCGCTGAGAACGTCGAGATCGCCATCTCCGTCAAGATCTGCCGCATACACAGAGTAGGCACCGGCAGCGGCGGTGGAGATGACGATTTGAGCGGAAAAGACGCCGTTGCCGTTGTTCCGGTACCACGCAATTTTGTGGTCGTCGCGGCCGGCGCTGAGGACATCCATATCACCGTCGCCATCCAGATCTGCTGCATATACCGAGAAGGCGCCGTCAGCATCTGTGGAGATGATGATCTGGTCGGAAAAGATGCCGTCGCCGTTGTTTCGGTACCATGCAATCTTGTCGTCATCGACACTGGCGCTGAGAACGTCGAGATCACCGTCGCCATCCAGATCTGCCGCATACACGTCGCGGGCATAGTCAGCGGCAGTAGAGATGATGATTTGGGGGGAAAAGGTGCCCCCACCGTTGTTTCGATACCACGCTACTTTGTTGTCATAAATACTGGCGCTGAGGACATCGAGATCACCGTCGCCGTCCAGATCTGCTGCATACACCGAAGTGGCGCCATTGGCAGCGGTGGAGATGACATTCTGGGCAGAGAAGCTGCCGCCGCCGTTGTTACGGTACCACGCAATCTTGTCGTCCTGAGCGCTCGCACTGAGGACGTCAAGATCCCCATCGCCGTCCAGATCGGCCGCATACACCGTGTAGGCAGAAGTAGCGGCGGTGGAGATGATGATCTGGGTGGAAAAGGTGCCATTGCCATTGTTTCGGTACCACGCAATCTTGTTGTCGTTGCGGCTGGCGCTGAGGACATCGAGATCCCCATCGCCGTCCAAATCTGCCGCATACACCGAGCGGGCATGATCAGCGGCGGTGGAGATGATACGCTGCTCTGGTGCGCTCCACCGCAAGCTTGGCGTTGCGTCAATAAGCAACGCAAAGGCTGCCTCCACATTGATACCATTGACCACCACGTTGTTCGTCGAGTTGATGTACAACGTGCCGGCCTCATCCACCGTGATGGATGGCTTCTGGGAGGCCGCCGCAACCAGTACCGCGCATAGCGCCCAGACTAGAACGAACCTCTCCATGGTGCAACGTCCCCTTGCCCGCAGACGCCTCGATAACGCCATGACCTCCGTCTTAACCTGACCGGGACCGTGTGTTCCGAAAAGTGTTTCTGTGTGTGCAATCACTTTTTTTTTTTTTTCGGACTGGTGATGTATGCATTCGAATGCAGTGACAATGTATAGTTCACGAATGCAGTGAGTATGTCCGTGATTCACTTGGCATCGTACTGGGAAACACCGGCGATGGGTGTGACCGGCGATGGGTGCGCGTGGGAGAGGATTAAGGGCTGGAAACTCAAAGTCATGACCGATTCAAATTGATGTACAACGTGCCGGTCTCATCCACCGTGATCGACGGCTGCTGAGCCACCGCCACGACCAGTACACATCCAGAACGTTGGATGTCATGGTGGTCTTGCTCCTATTTTCTATAAGTTGTTCGTGTGAAGCCGGTGATGTTGCATCCAGCTGAACATGTGCTCATTGCTCTGTGTGTGAGTGTGTGTGTGAGTGTGAGTGTGAGTGTGTGTGAGTGTGTGTGTGTGTGTGTGTGAACCATCAAACAAGACTTGCAGCTGTATTTTTTACGTTAAAGTTATTCGTAAAAATGATTTAGGGGCTGAATGGCGGACTCAAATATCGTACATTTTCCACAACAAATCATAAAGATGAAAGCGACCATCTTGACCTCATGGCGCTTCTGGATGCTCATTGCCGGCTGCTGGTTTGCCTGGGTGATGGCGGCCGATGTTAGCAAGCCGAGCATTGCTGTTGATGAGGATGGCACACTCCACATCAACTCGACCAATCGGGTCATCATCAACGGCATGGATGTGGTGACCGTGCTGAAGTCAGCCATTGGTGCATTGGCCGGTTTGGCCTTTAGTCAACCACTTGAGGCACGCACTATTACCACGGATGCCAAGGGCGCATTTTCGGTTTACGCAGCAGATTTGGATAATGATGGCAATCTCGACGTCCTCAGCGCCAGCGCTGACGATGAGAAAGTTGCATGGTACCGCAACAATGGCGACGGCACATTTTCCTCGCAAAAAATCATCTCCACCGCGGTGGATTATGTATACTCGGTATATGCAGCAGATTTGGACAATGATGGCAAGGTTGACGTCCTCAGCGCCAGTGCGGGCGATGACAAGATTGCTTGGTATCGCAATAACGGTGGCGGCAGCTTTTCCTCCCAGAAGGTCATTAGCACAGCCGCCAACGGCGCGTTCTCGGTGTATGCGGCTGACTTGGACAATGATGGCAAGATCGATGTCCTGAGTGCCAGCGCCGACGACGACAAGATTGCATGGTATCGCAATAACGGTGGCGGCAGCTTTTCCTCCCAGAAGGTCATAAGTACAGCCGCCAACTATGCATACTCGGTCTTTGCAGCCGACTTGGACAATGACGGCAATATTGATGTCCTCAGCGCCAGTCGGAACGACAACGAGATTGCATGGTATCGCAACAACGGTGGCGGTTCCTTTTCCACTCAGAAGGTCATCTCCAGAGCCGCAGCTAGAGCGTGTTTGGTCTTTGCAGCCGACTTGGACAATGATGGTTATCTCGACGTCCTCAGCGCTAGCAGTGGTGACAACGAAATAGCGTGGTATCGCAATAACGGCGACAGTACCTTTTCCGATCAGAGGGTCATCACCAGAGACGCCGACTATGCAATGTCCGTGTACGCGGCAGACTTGGACAACGATGGCAATATCGACGTTCTCAGCGCCAGCGCTGATGACAACAAGATTGCGTGGTACCGCAATAAGGGTGACGGTAGCTTTTCCTCCCAGCTCATCATCACCACGGCCGCCACGGCTGCACGTTCCGTACACGCGGCCGACCTGGATAATGATGGTGACATGGACATTCTCAGTGCTGGTTCAAGGGACAACAATATCGCGTGGTATCGCAACCAAGTCAGCGACATGTTCTACTTTGATTGAGGTTCGTTGCTCAAAGGCTGCTGCTGCTTGGCACTGGGAGGGCGCAATGGTATGGCAAGGAACGCGGCGAGGCGCTGCTCACGAACAACAGCACGGTGGTGTCAAGCACATCGGTATTTAACCTGGGTCGCGCAAAGAAATTGATGAGTGTAGCTGTCTTTTTTTTTCATTGATGATAGCTTCATCCGATCGCTCACACCGGACAGCAGTGCACAGACACAGAAACGCATGGAAGGGGGGAAGCTTAGACATGTGTCGGCGTTACTCAATTCCCGGCCAATGGTGCCGAACATAGAAGCATAGGACCTTGCAAGTGTTGGTAAAAATGGTAAGCACACGGCTTTGAAAAGAACCAAATTCGGCATCAGGTGGCCCAGTCCTGAAATTTATCTGGATGAACGCTTTGGCATTGAGGCGGAATCTTTCGATATAATGCAGCTGACCTGCCCGCCGCCCATGCCTTGCAGCGGCACCAACACTGTGGGTGCACAATGCACACGTACCAAGTACCGAGCATGATGCTTCTAACAATGAAATGCTTTTGAGGGAAAAACACTTGCACTCGTGCTGAATTCGATTCGGGAGCCAAGGGCGTTTTACTTGACGCCGCTCGCCTGGATGGCATGGGCAGCATCCTTATACTTGTCCATGACAACGGCATGAAGCTCGTTGGACAGGGCTTCGGTACAACCAAACGCACGGGTTTGGACGTCGGAGCACCAGGCATTGTTGCTTGGTAGCTTGTCAATCTGGTAGTGCTTGGCATCCCATGTGTTAATGCCGTGGTACAGGCGAAAGTAGAGCCAGAAGGGATTATTTTCCCACACGACCATATTAAAACCTTGGCGCTTGAGGTTGTTGATGTAATACGTGTCCTCCGATCGACTAGCAGCCCCATATTGAATGAGGGCAATCGCTGCAGACTTGTGCACCATGATCGTACCCTCGATGCCCGTTGGTGAGCGCGCTGCATAAGCGGCCAAAAAAAAAAAAAAAAAAAAGAAAAAGAAAGAAGAAATGGAAGGAGAGAGAGGGAAAAAAAAGGGGGGGGTGAGAAGGAAAGGCATCGCAAGGCAGACACAACCAAGCAAGCCATCCGTTGCGCCCACAGATGGTACAATCAACATCGCCAGGGCACCAGCAGATCGATTACTAACATGAAAAGGCAAAGCTGCTGTTCTTTTCCAGAAAGAGGCGAATCTGCGACCGCAAGGTAATGGCATCGGCTTTGCGCACCCGCATGTAGTCATACTTTAGACGCATGTATTGTCGCTCGTGCCAGTCTATGTGCCCAGCCATACATTCCAGTAGATCGAGCCAGTGAGGAAGCGATTCCATCCGGCCTCGTAGCCGCCGCTTTGGGCCGCAGGCAAATTACGAGCCTGAGCGCCAAAATAACAAGCACGCAGCGGCGAAAGCCCAATGCTGCACGTCTGCTCTTACCATCGTCGTCCCATTGGACCCAGGTCCCCTGCACCGGTACCGCGTTGATCCCAATGTTCCGTAGCTCCCCCAGCGTAAACTTCCGTGGCTCCACTCGAATCTCCACAACACACGCCGCAGATACCTCGCTCTCCGGCATGTTTGGAAGCGTCGCCGCCAGCCAGTCAGAGGGCGGTCCCACCAAGCTGTAGTCGGGCGAGTCGTTGATCACCACCATCACCTTGTGCCGCATCGTCTGCGCCGCAAACGAGGCCATGGACTTGCGCGCCAGATACTCGTGCGCCTTGTCCTTGCCCGTTACCATGAGAGCAAACATGATGGGGTCCTGGGGCATGGTTTCACCCTCGCGAACATCGATGGACATGGATGGGGTGACGGTGAGGGTGGGGATGGCGTCTGGGGATGTGGGGGCCTGATACTGGACGGTGAAGGGCGTATCTGGGCAGCTGGTCCATTTCACGGGATCGGCCGGGGCAGCAGCAACGTTGTTGACAACGAGCAGGGCCATCAAGGCCAGCAACAAGAGCCGGCGCCACGTGGAACACATCGCGTCGTGGAGACGAGGCGTGCTCATCCTGTTTTCACCAACCCGTCAATTGTCGTGCCCGGCCGGTATTCGCCTCGCTCAAGCACTCAGAAAGCGCTCTCTCTGCCAAAAGAACGGCCACACAAGCAACACCGACATGCACAGCGGACTTGACTTTCAACAACTACAGCTTGCTGCATCTTCTTCACGATGGTCTGCATTTATACCGCACTTGTGCTTTGCTTTTGTCAGTTGATGCTTCTTGTGTTTCTACATCTTCTTCAACTTCAACTTCTTCAACTTCAACTTCAACTTCAACTTCATCTGCTTCTCTTGAGGATAGCAATGGACTTCTCTCTGGCTCTGTCGCCCTCCCTCGTTCCCTCGTTCGCTGTGGTTGGTAGACTGCCGGGCGGGGGGGGGGGGGGGGGGGGGG